GAGAGTGAGAGAGTGTGTGAGTGTGAGAGAGAGAGAGAGAGAGAGAGAGAGAGAGAGAGAGAGGGTGGGTGTGTGAGGATGTGTAAAGCGTGTAAGAGATATGAGGAGGCTTGGCTAACCACCCTTTCCTTCCCTTTCTGTGTGTGTGTGAGTGTGAGAGAGAGACAGAGAGAGAGACAGAGACAGAGACAGGGAGAGGTTTCTGTCGCATATTGTCTCACCTGTCCATGATGAAGGTAGAGCCAGTTGGGTTGAAATATTGGTTTAATTTCGGTGGCTGAAGCAGTGATGCAGTCAATTATGCCACTGGTCACTTCACTTGGTGTCATTTATCGCAGACACAATCTAGCACTGTTAAAATCTTATTAATGGTAATTTAATCCATTATTCAGGGGTGTTTTTCTCCCCCAGACTATTCACTCAATTTGCCAGTGAGGTCACACTGCATCCTAATTGTTTGTGTGTAAATATATGTGAAGAAAATGTCAAAATAAATGAAGCTCCACAGAAAAAACTGGTATATAAAACAGTGCAGGTAGTATGGTTTCAAGAGTAATGTATTTATTTATATACTAATGGTGATTCAATGAATAAGGACTGAAGTATGAATTAACATTTTAATTCTTTGATCAGTTACACATTAGTTACACATTTTGGTCACTACCAAAAAGTATTGAGGTTTGAAACCCAGCCCTATGTGTGCAATGTTCACCTTATCCAGTCCACTGAAACCATTTCGTACCGTACTTACAGCAACAATGACAAAGACAAGTCTTAAAGGACACAATAGCTGTTGGGGCGATGCTCGGGCTGCAACACCAGGCCAGTGGACATCATGTGAATCACATTAAAATGTCAAACTAACAACACACACACACCATGTTTGTATTCAACACACAAAGGGAGGTAAACTTATTGTGTCTTCCCCTGGGTGCATCTGGAAAATAAACCACTTAAGTATGTTTGGATCATGTTTAATGCATCATCTGGATTTCTGTTATATAATTCAAATAGTTTAAAATTGCATTAATGACGACAAACACCATTTATAACATTTATATATTATGCAAATAATAGTTTGTGTGAGAACATCATAAAAAGCATCATACTGAAACAAAAGACTAGATGTATGAAATAACGTGTGAGGATTTAGTGACAGACTGAATTAAGTTACTGTGGTGAGTAATATAGATAAGTAATATGAATAATCTGTCTGTCGTTGAGGTTGCTGGAGTTGCCATGGTTCTTCTGTTTAGCTTTGTTTTCAACAGCTTTGGCTACTAAAGATCTAAACTTCCTCTCGTCTCTTTTCAGCTCTTCAGTAACAAATGCAGTGCGAGGACAATGGATGAGGATGTCACCAGGCTTGCCATACATTCTGAGGAGCCTAAAATAATATTACACGGATCGGGTAATTAGCCATGCTTGTATTAATGTGTATTTGTATTGATATAAAGTATGTTTGTGGTTATGCGAGTTCTCATAAACATGGTAGTGTTGGTTGGGGTATTTTTTTTAAAGAAGCAGGACTCTTTGGTTAGCCAGATAACTTGAAATATTTGAATGACATACTGTAAGTAAAGTGTCGGTTGCATGTCGTCAGTAAGAAACCAGTAACAACATTTAATGTGCCATTTAAAACATCCACACACAGACTGTTGCTCTAGACTGCTATCTGGTTAACTGGGTAATCCTGCTTCTTCCAGATGAGGGTGGTGCCGGTGGGCAGGAGTTTGTTGTGGAGCTTCAAGAGACTGTGTTGGTGTCAGAAGGCGAGGGGGAAGGCATGGCAGTTCACAGGTTTGCCCCAGATGAGCTAGTCATCCAGGATGCTGTTGAGGATGTGGTTTCTGAGTATGTGCACTGCGATGAAGATGAAGATGTCGCTGTAGAAACCTGTGTGATGGCTCTGGAGGGCGAGGAGGAGGGTGTTGCCATGGGAGACATCCCTGAAGATGGGCTGGACCCAGAGCAGCAGGAGGACGACCAAGATGGCTGTGGAGATTATCTAATGATATCCTGTGAGTTTACTGCTGTGCTGGGATTGGATTCAAATGTGCCATTGCTCCTCTGGAAAGCATACTTGGATCCTATTTACACTTAGTCACTTTATGTGTGTTAGGCAGATGACATAGCTATCTGAAGTCTCAAGTGTAAAGACATCCAAGAAGCATTCGAGCAGCAATAGCAGCAACTGTTTAAGACAGATGTGAAATTGTAAACATCTCTGGTACATAGCAACATTATTGGCTAGGGCTGCACAGTTAGTGACAATACTATGGAAATTGCAGTTTGGCCAGGTTCAATATCCAAATCACAGGAAGCTGCAATTTTTTGATAAACATAAAAAGTGTGACAAAACAGCATTATAATGAAGTACTGTAGTTCTGAAGAGATGCCCTGGGCTACAAATCTTGTTCTCCAGATTTAAGACAACGTGTTTGTTTGGCACAGACTCCCCCCACGAA